TGTTTTGTTTTGGTTTCTCAAGGCAAGGTTTCACTGTGTAGCCCTGGTTGTCCTAGAACTTGCTCTGTAGACCAAGCTGGCCTCAAACTCACAGAGATCTGCCTGCTTCTGCCTCCTGAGTGCTGGGATTAAAGGTGTGCGCCATCCCTCCCAGCCTGAGTGGAACCTTCTGCCATTGCAGTTCCCAGAACACAATGACCCTGACCCTACATGGCTCCCTTCTCTGTACTTCCACCCAGGGTGACGTGGGAGTGGAAGGGCTGAGTGGGAGAGTGATGTCCCCACCTGCCACAGACTCCCAGCTGCACGGCGGTTGCCAAGGTCAGCATGGCAGTTACAGGGTTGGAGATGTGAAGAAGCAGGAATCATTGTGACCAAGTGACCAATGACTGTGACTTCCTCAGAGAGACCAGAGCTGCTGAGGGTCCCAAGGACCCTGGCACAAGTCAGAGTGGCTCTTCTGGTCACGCTCAAGGTACCATACAGGTAGGTCTTCAATGCAGGCTAAACTGAGACAAATCTGGAAGACAGGAAGACAGTCCTAAGAACCTTGCATGTTTTCTGCAAGGGAAGGAACTCAATGCTGCCTCTTTGGAGAGGTCAGGAAGGTTGCAGATATGCGGCCTGCAGGGTTCCATGAGGGCACAGTAGGGCAGTGGGTGAGAAGGCAGGGAGGAAGACCAGAAGCTTTCTGTCTTGCAGTGGCTGAGAGCCCCTCTTTTTGACCTAGGTGGAAATGGGGGAAGCAGAAAGAATTAAAGGCCAGGTAGGGTGTCTCTGGCTGGGAACCTGGGAGCCTATGTGATGGTGACCTAGATAAGAAAGGGAAAGCGGGAAGACTCGAGGGGCAGGTGTGTGTATGGGGGGGGGGGTGACACCTGTCTCTGGATGAGAGCCCTGAGCCTGTGTGAAGGTAGAGGGAGTAGGGTGGGAGGGGATGTCCCTAGAACAGAGTGACAGCTCTGGATAGGAACCTGTGAGCCTGCAAGAAGATTGATGGGATGATACAGGCACAGAACGGAGAGGGTACCAGGGTACCCCCAGAGAGTGAGGCCTGGGGAGGGCACATGCAGGGGTAGGCAGAGGAGCACAGCCAGCTGGAGACTAGAGCTTGCCTTTGTTACATTTGGTCTCGAAGTCCTCTATGCCCCCTCCCTGTCCTCACATATGGTGCCGACTAGGAAGCACAGGCCACAGCTAAGCCCACCCACCCCACTTCCCAGAGCAGTTCAGAGAAGATGGACGGCTCTCTGCAGCTCCCCGCTGTCAGGAAGCGCAGAGCATGGCCACAGATCGGATGAGGATGAGGGGTACTGAGGAACTAGAGCCCCGCAGACACGGATTTGGATCCTGGCTCTCCCATTCAAGAGCTGTGTGACTCTGAGCAGGTAACTTGGCTTCTCTGGGCTTCGGTAGCTCTTCTCCAGCAGGGGAAAAGGAAGAATGCCACCCTCACAGGGTGTGGCGGCACAGACCTCACACTTCCGGCTTAAGTGGCACACCCACAGCAGGACCCAGTTTGTTGTCAGTACCTCAGGTCTTTCCCTGACTGAGCAATGGGGTTGGTGCCACCTTGAAGTATCAACTGGTGGCCCAGCCTGGAGGCGTCCAGCTAGGGGTCCAGTTTGTGTGAGGGGCAGGCTGGAAGGGTCTTCTGCCCACATCTGTCTGCTCCTCCTCCCTGCCTGTTTGCAGACCCTTGGGAGAGACAGCCTACCGCCCCGGGTGCCTGAGTCCCTGAGTCCTTCCCTTTCATGGTCTGCTGACTATGGCTTCAACTGATGTCAAGGCTGGGCGGAGTCACCAGGGACCTCTGTGCTGAGTCCAGGATGGGGAGTAATTTGTAATCAGAGAACCTGATCCGAGAATGTGGGCCCTCACCCCAACGGTCTTCCTTTGTGTGGCCAACTAAATCCCCTCCTGCCGTCTTCCTATGGGACAGGGTTACCAGACCCCTTCCAGCTCTCCCAAAGACTCAGACTCATCCTAGCCTCTCCCTCCCTGGTCAAGCAGGAGGCCCAGGAGGGAGTCTGAAATCAATCCACGGGGTCAAGACAAGCAATTTATAGAGAAGAGAACCTGGAGGGCACATTTTAGATGGAGCCGAGCCACGGCGTGTGACCTGGTTTCAGTTATTCTCAACTGGGTTCAGACAGGGTCACCCTAAAACATGCAGCTTTTGATTTGGGGTTACTGTCCTGCTCTTAGAGTCACCCTCTTCATATCCAGGTCCCCTTTCTGAGCTATGCTTCCGGGTACTGGCTTCCCCACACAGCCTAGACTCTTAGGTGACCACAGGAACTGCACTCAGTCCCCTTTCACGGATGGAGTAAACCAAGGCACAGAGATGAGGTTGACCCGAGCAGAACAGCTATTAAACAGGGACGAGACGGTACTCTGGACATCTCTGAGCTCCCCACCCCCATACACACACACACACACACACACACACACACACACACACACACACACGTGTATTCACTATTCTGCTGCTATCTAAAATGTCTGAGCAAGCAAAACTCAAAAGAAAGAAATATACTCTTTTCCAGGGAGCTGAAAGATGAGAGAGGCATTTCCCAAAATGTGGATTAGCAAACAGGCAGACGGGGCTGACCCGTGGAAGGCTGAGGGGAAAGCAATACTCAGAACTGACCTGGATCCAATAAGCATTAGAGGGAGCTGCTATTGTCCATCCAGCATCAGGAGACCCCGTGGCTCTCAGAAGAGGAAGTGGCCCATGAATCCTCTATAGAGTAGTCTTGTAAACAAGGCTAACCAACAGTTCTCCCAGGGCGGACAGTGACCCTTTAAGCAGGAGGCAGATGAGAGGAATAACCTTGACAAATGCCTACTGAGGTGCAGAGGGGTTAGCGCTTAAAGCTTCACCTCACCCCGGCTCACACCGCCTCTGCTCCAGCTGCCTGACCTCGCCTGTGAGCTCTCCGGAATCCACCAGCCCCTCCTGAGCCTTGGCTGGCTCGCGCTCGGCCTGCAACTCAATCCCTCCCAAGGCACTGAGAGTAGTAAGGGCCCAGGCGCGCTGATCAAAGGTATCCGCCCTGACTCAGGTCGATTTTCAAGGAAAACACTTTGATTCCCAGCTCCAAAAGAAAGCCGTTCCCACGGTCTTTCTATGAGGCCTGGGGTTTGCCCTCCGATCCATTCTGGCAGCTCTCAGAGCTGCGACTCTTTAAAGCTTCCTCTAAAGGGTCCCCAGGAAGACATAGACTGTGGCTGCTGGTTTGTCCCTAAGCCCCAACCATGTGCCTGAGCGTGAATCTCAGGACACCGCGGGGCAGCCGGCCAGTCATTCATGACGTGGCAGGCAGTCGCCAAGTGGCTGGTGCAGGCGTTGGAAGGCGACCTTTGAACAGCGGGTGTCTTATGGAGTTTTTAGTGCTAATGTTCTCCAAATGCCACGCTCAGATTGACTGTCATGTCCTTCAACACCTCTGAATCACGGTTGCATACAGATGTGGCTTGGCTGCAGGCCCTGTCCACAGCCTGTCCGCATCCCATTCTCACGTTTCTAGACCTCAGACCCCAGAGTGCAGGACAGCCATACGAAGACTCACACAAAATGAGCGTTTTGTCGAAGGTTTGGCCTGGATTAAATGCACAAGTGTTGACTGGGGCTTCTCTAGTCGTGGCCTTCCTTACAAACCCCTTTACAGTATGGTGAGCAAGACCTGGGTCAGCTGGGGACTCGATGTCTCCCTTTTGACCCATCTGTACCCTCAAAAGGATGGGTAGATACAGCGACAGAGCCAAGCGTGGGGACAGGACTCTTTCTTGTCTTTGCATGGGGGATGGGTAAAATGCCTGAGGACTCCCGAGGGGGCTGAATAACACAGCTGGACCTGAAGCAATAGAAGGGAAGCCTCTGGGGCTGTAGAAACCCAGAGGACAGGACTTTACCCAGCTTGAGATGGGACAGGAGCTTTCTGGGAAAAGACCCGTGGACTGGGCCATTATTTTTCCGAATTATAATTCTTCAGGTCCCGCCCCCACCTCCTCCCTCCCTAAAAGTGAGACTGGCTCAGCGTAGAGATTCTGGAAACCACAGGGAAGGATCAAGAAGAAAGGCGGACTGTCTGCGGTTCGCCACCCTGACAGAGCAGCTGCGAACGTTTTTGATGTCTTTCTTTCCCATCTCCTTACCAGGCTGAACTTTGAAGGAAGAAAAGGGTAGGAGGCAGCCGGGGGGGGGGGGGGGCAGGCAGGAGCATTTTACGAAAGCTCTTGAGTAAATCTTCTAGAAGTTTCCCCACAGGGCGCTGT